TTTCTCTCTTGTGTATGTTATTGGTCTTGTTGAGTGTGAACAAGCATAACCAGATGTATGTCTATACTTGACTCGTCGTCGGTATTATAGACCAAATTCATTGATCCCAATCATCATCAAATTAGATTGACATCATACGTAAGCAAAAAAAAGGTAAAGTAAAATAAAAGAAAGTAAAAAAACACATATAAAAGTCAATCTTTTTTGACATATGTTAACTTACATCGAAGATCTCTCACAGAGTGCGATGACGAGAACAAATAAAAATATGATCCATGACTTCGAACTGATGTTGTTTATTTGATGTTAGGTCACATGATCATGCTGTTTGTTTATATAAGCGAATATGTTTTTATTGATTTTTTTTTCTTGGAAGAAAATAAAATAGACGAAAGTTTATTTTCTTTCTTTCTTTCTTACTTTCTAATGATTGTATGTTTAACATTGATGAAGAGAAAAATTCAATATTTGACAGAAGTTCATTTGACTTCAAATAGCAACCGGTGCCATACGATCATTATCAATTTTTTTCTTTGACACTTGACAAGATATTCGTGTGCATAAACGATCACACACATCTTTAAGTTTCAGATAAGAGAAAAAGAAATCTTTCCGGATATCCCTCTCCCACTTCTTTTTTCTTCTTTTTTTTGTGAAAAACGATCTTATACATCCGTTTTATCGATCTATATGAGTCAAAAGAAAGTTTGTCTTGTTCCTCCTACATTTCCTTTGTTCTTAACTAATTACTCAGACAAGTAGAAGAATGAATTTCTCGTATTACATCCGTCTAAAAAGATAAGAGCCATGACATCCTTATTTTACATTAAAATCAACAATCTATATATATACAGATGTATAATTTTGTTTAGAAGGTAATGCCAACATTAGATAATATGTCGACAGTTTGTTATGGATGTCGTGCATTAATTGATGATCGATATTATTTAATGGCAGTTGATCGTAGTTGGCATTTATCCTGTTTAAAATGTTTTGATTGTGGTATGCCACTTGAACAAGAACGAACATGTTTTGCAAGATTTGGACAAATTTTTTGTAAAGATGATTATATTAAGTATGAATTGTTAAAGATGAATATTTGATTTGTATAAGAAAAATATTTTTTTAGAAGATATTGTTCTCGTGTTTGTACACGATGTCATACAATGATTCGACAAGATGAAGTTATTTTACGTGCTAAACAATATATTTTTCATTTGGATTGTTTTACATGTGTTACTTGTAATATTCTTCTTCATCCAGGTATAATAAAAAAAGTTTTATTCTAAAATAGTTTTTTATTTATTTTTATTTTTTTTTCAAGGAGATGAATTTGGTTTAAAAGATGATTTAATTTTTTGTCGTCATCATTTTTTTGAACACCAACAACAGCAACAACAACATCATCCATCTTATGATCCACATTTAACAGGACGAATGCTTGATATTGGTATTGAAAATCATCCACTTTCACATCCAACCGGTTTTCTCGATGATTCGGGATATTATGCATCACCACTCCCACCATTAATTCCATCAACACCACCAACAAATACAAGTACACCGAATGGAACATCAGTTAATCTAACAAAACGTACAAGAAAAAGAAAAGAACGTCAACAACAACAACAGCAACAACAACATGATGAAATCATGTCATCATCAGATCATTTTCTGACACTTTCACCATCATCATCAAATCTAAGTATGTTTTTCTCATTAAATCGTTTTCGTTATTTTTTTCCTTCTTATTCTTCTTCTGTTAAATGATTGACAGACATATTCAACGAAGTGAGAATATCTCTTGAAGAGCTTAAATGAGAAGGATTATAGACTGCTGTTCAATCGATTATATGCAGGGTGTTATACTTGAAAAATCATGTGCAATATAGAATAGAATTTGTTTAAGTGACCACTTTTAAATATTTCTTTTAGTAGGGAATGAAGCAGCATTATTTGCTCCATCATTGGATTCATCGTATTATGTTGATGTCGTTGATATGGATGGAAATGGATCAAATACAACTAATCTTCATTCTCATCAAACAAATAATAATAGTTTATCGAATGTTCCTCATCATCATCATACAAGACAAAAACGTGTACGAACAAGTTTTAAACATCATCAATTACGTTGTATGAGATCATATTTTAATTTAAATCATAATCCAGGTAATATATTTTTAATTTATAACACTAAAAACTAATTTTCAATTTTTTAGATGCAAAAGATTTAAAAAATCTTGCTGAAAAAACTAATTTACCTAAACGTGTTTTACAAGTATGGTTTCAAAATGCTCGTGCGAAATATCGTCGTAGTGTATCTCGAAGTGATACATTATCTGGAACATCTCAACAACAACAACAACAATCTCAAATGACTCCATCATCATTAACAATCGGATCAAATATGCTTGATGGTCATCCAACAAGAGAAGATACAACAAATTCATCAAATCTATCTTCACCAACAGAATCAATTCGTTCAAAAGCATCATCGGTGAATTTTAGCGAATCGGAAACATGTGGTTCCATGTAGTAGTATTGCTTTTCTTTTTTCTGTTCGTTTGTTTGTTTTTCTTCTTTTTTCCATATCAATGTTTAGTTTGTATGTTGTATAGTAATCGAACAAAGAAAAATAATAATAACTCCGTCATAAAAAAAACACACCAAACTTTTCCTTCATCACTGATCCAATGTTGGTAGACAATCAACAGTTGTGCCTCTAGTTCATGTTATTATTGTTGGCAAATTAGCAGCATATATTTTCTTTACTATC